ATTGTATTTTCTTTCTCCTTGGTTTTGATTACTTTAAGTACATCATATTCATGGAATCACACCATATAGTAGTTGTCATTTTGTGATTGGCTTATTTCACTTAGCATGATGTCCTCAAGTTTCATCCATGTTGTAGCCAATGTCAGAATTTCCTTCCTTTTTAAGATTGAATGATATTCCATTGTATATTTATACCCCATTTTACTTAACCATTTATCCCCTCTATGGCCACATTTTAGCTATTGTGAATAATGCTGTTATCAACATGGATGTACAAATATGTTTCTAAGACTCCACTTTCAGTTCTGTGGAATTGGTAGATACTATGATAATATGATAATTCTTTTTTAAAATTTTTAAGGAACTGCCATTGTTTTCCACAATTGTACCATTTTATATCCCCACAGTGCACAAGGTTTTCAATTTCTCCACATCCTTGTCAACATTTGTTATCTTCTGTTTCATTTTCTTTAGTTTTGTTTTTAATTTTAGCCATCTTAATGGTGTGAAGCTGTGGGAGGATATGCTTTTGAACACTTCCTCTTTCTTATAATGTATCTTTTCCTATGGATCCCATAAAACATTCTGCCCTGGGGCTTTTGTCCTCTCCTTGTCACTCTTGATTCTCTGCATGAATATTGCCAAGGTAACATCATCATCATCATTTCATCAATGAAGAAAATGTTCTATAATCTGTGCTATCCCATGCAGTAGCCCCTGCCTGTACATGGTTACTAAACATGTGAATCGTGGCTAATGATATTGAGGAAATTAAATTCTAGTTACATTTCTTTTTTTTTTTTTTAGTTTAAAGCCACATGTGACAAGTGGTTATTACATCAGCTAACGCATTGGATTCTATTTCTTCCTGAGCTCCAACCTCATGTATCCAACTGCTCCTATAATATATTTGTCTAGATTCATTAAGTATTCAAAATTTCACATGTCCAAGGTTAGACTCTATCACTCTCTTCAGCCCAACTCCTAATTTTGTTAATTCAATAATATCAACTTCATCCAATGTGGAGGTATTCAAATTGTCCTTTACTCTTCACTCTGCTTCATGCCCCATATCCAGTAAACCATATATCCTGTTATTCAGACCTAAAAATGTCTCTCAAATCTGTCTTTTGTTATTCAAAATACATATAATCATTTCTTACACAATACCACCAACAATCTACTTTTTAGAGAACCCTCAAGGGAAGCTCATTGACATTAAGATAAAGTTAATATTTCTTAAATTCTTCAAATGTCACTTTTCTGGTGAATTCTTCAAATCTAGTCAGAAGCATGAACTCCATCATCTTTCTTCTCATAACTTGTTTATGTCACTATCACTTCTTATGTTAGGTTATGTTAAAATGATTTCCTTATCTGTTTAGTCCCTTGGACCTATTCTCATGTATGAATTGTTTTTATATTTCAAATGTTCTGCTTCATCCTAGAATGTTTAGATAACCAATAACAATTTATGAGCTAAATGTTGAAGATTTAGAAACCTAACTAGACAATTTCTAGCTAGAAAAGGAGAAATAAGCCTATTTCAAAACAAATCCATGGCGATTTTTATTCACTTATTAAAGGATTAAGCAGCTAGATTTATATTGGTATTTCATTCATGTGTAGTCTTTGGAGAAATCAGTTTGGTTTCTATGATAATTAAAAAAACAAATGCTATTTTTCAAGTTAATTATAGAAGATAAGAAAACATCTTCAACAGCAATGCAGTATGTGCTGCCCTTTGGTGACTTTATACTGTATCATCTGACTGTCATGAAGCAATGATGAATTATACCTTTTAGCATCAATATTGAGTCTCATTCATTACTTTCTTAGGTTCCATGCTTTATATCAAAAAGACAAATGCCAGGATAAATTCACACTTTATAAAAAAAAAATATTTTTAAAGAACTGCAGGACAGCATTGGAGAGCTACATACCAGGACTCATAGCTCCTATCCCATCTATGTGCAGTTTGTTTGTTTTCATTTTTTTAATTCGGGGAAAAAAAATTATTGATAAATTATTAACTTATTAATGCTTGGAAGCTGTAATTTAATTTTACATAAATTGTATTTGTGATCTATAACAGAGGTCCAGAATGCAAAGTACTCACTTGTAAAGGATAATAGATTACATTACATGATCATTTGTATTAGATGTATATGCTTCTTATATTTATTTAATTAGATAAAATAAATATGTGATTGTGTTATAATTCTGTGCATTGAATTCAAACTTTTGTTTGGAGAAATAAGGACTAGAATCTTCAATATTTCATTTAATACAGATTTTTTAAAATGTTTTATAAGTGGTATGATATCAGCAATTGTGTTCTATCATTTTCCAACACGTTTCTTACTTCACATCAAATTTTCAGAATTCACAGTGACAGAATTTATACCTAACTGGGTCTTTTCATTCAAAGTCCATTGGTATTTCTATAATATCTCACTTCTACATGAAATATGAGTGTACTAAATGCATGGTATACTATGATAATACCACTACTATTCTTACTGAAACAAAATATTTTAAAGGCTTTAATCTTTTACAAATTAAATTATGTATTCCATTTGTACACACTAACCTACCAGTGTATTCTCAGTGTTTAATTAATTAGTTTACTCATATGCTTTCATATCTAACTTATTCTTTTTTACTTTAAAGTGAAAACTAAATACAGAAGGTACAGGTAAGAGTCTATTTGAAGACATCAGCACTCTTAATTTTTAATGTGTTAATAATTATACTCAGTTACATCCATACTGCATTTCCAGGGAAAATATATATGTGATCTTTCAATCTCATAGAATCCTCACGAGGAAAGTCATTACTAGTGTACTCCTTTTTGGTGTAGACAATAAAATAGAGTTTTACTAAAGGAAAGAACAAGTTGGTAGCCAAGGTAATAAAATGTATGCTCCATATTTCCTAGTCATGTACCTAGTCAACCTCACCATATTTATATTTTTTTATTTTGTTGTTGATCAATGAAAATTTGACCTTAAAATAAAGTATTTATTAAGTACTTCTTTTTGTGATTCCCCAGTTTCTCCTACTGGAAAACTAAGATTGAACTACTGAAGCACAATTTCTTCCCTTGGCCTATGTCTCCAACATGAGGTGTTGCCATAGGTAAACATGATGATTGGGGAAACAGTATCAACATTAGATGAATATATTTGGTCATAAAAAGTATCAGAAGTCACTTACTTCTGCACTTTGGCATATTTTATTTCTTCATAGACAGAATTTTTTCTAATTTTTTTTCTAATTTTCTAATATTTCTAATTTAATGAGTTAATATCTGCTTACCTATGAAATAAATTTTAAAATAAATATAGAACCTGTGGTAATATCTGTGCACAAATTTGTGTATTTTCTCAAACAGTCTCTGACTTTCTGTGTTTCACACTAAGTACAGAACTCATTTTTATGTCCAGGCTATGTCCCATGTTCCTCTACTCCCTTCTTGCCCCATCCCTGCTTCCCGACATGCTCTTAGGAGTTGTGGAGTGCCAAAACATCGTGCAGCAAAAATCAGTATGTGTTTACACCTCTCATTATACACCTGATACCAATAGTGTCTCAAATTATTCATTCCACAAAAATCAATGAATTCCCTGATCCAGAGGAAAGCAGAAAGAAATGGGAAAAAATATTACTATTCCATTGCCCTAAAATCCTCTAATGCTTCACTTAAAAATAAGCAAGTTAAACCTAGACTTTGAGTATCCAGAATATTTGAATGAGCACACACATGCACACAAACACACTCTCAGCTAAATGGATGCAGAAGCATATACTCATTTAAATAGGTATATAGATACATATAGATATGTATTTTTATCTATCACTCTATCATCTTTACAAGTATTAAGAACATAGTTAATATTTTGAATACTAAGGAACTATTATGTGGGGGAGATGTCTATGTCGCTATATCCAAATACAAAGGGATATTAAAGAATGGGAACATTAAAATCTAAAATAAGGAAGTGAAATTAATTGCAAAGCAAAGAGGTATAAATGTAATTAGGATTCAGATATTTTGAGCTTAGGAGAATTTTAAGTAAAATGTGGTATAAACTCCTCTTATTTCAAATGTTCAGAAAAAATAAATTCACAGTTTTATTAAAAAGCTAGGGTAGACCTAAAATCCTAGTTTGTATTCTGAGTTCGTTCCAGTGCCACTTATTGAGTTCAGTTAATTATATCACATTTCCTGTTTCTGAAGGAGAAAAATAGCCTTGTAAAATTTCACTAAGAAGGTTTAAGAATGATTCAGTTCTTTCAACTAAGCATATATAAATATGGATTATTTTAAATGTGCTGAAATGCCAATATTCTCTATAAACTTTATTCCCAAAAAGGAGGTTATGACAGGTTAGACAAACTGTTGGTAAATGTAAAAATTCATATGATGTCCTATGATGTCAGAACATTAAATTTATTTACTCCATACTGTACAATTTAATTTTCTCCATATTATAAACACATAGCTAAGAATTTTGAATAAAAATATAGGAATGACCATCATAGTATAAAAACATCTATTATAAATGCAGTCTTTTCTTTTAAGGAGCCATTTTTCTTTTTTTGCAACTAAAAAGTACCACCACAAACAACCAAATATCTTAATTATTGAAACAAAACACTGAAGATACAGAAATTCAATGATACTGACCTTAATCGAAGGGTGTACTTGAGAGTACACTACAACTCTACTTTCAGATGAAGAAAAAAAAAAAATCTGTTTTATTAAGGATTGATTTTGAATACAAATCATGTTATTGCTCTGTATGATCTTGATTGAGTAGTGTATCATCCTTACTCCTTAGCAAAGTAATGGGAGGTACTTAAAATCCTTTCAAGCATATATTATAAATGAAAATATAAAATTTCTCTTGATTGGTTCTTTTCTTTTTCTCCAACTACCACCAAAACCCTCCCAAACTTTCCCAACCCTGCCCATGAATGCAGTTAACTCCTACCTTAGTAATGGTTTCATGAAGGTTGAAAAAAGGATCCATTTCTTCAATTTTTCTTGCACGGTTAGGGAAAAGGGCCTCAGAGAGAAAACTTGGACACTGCGGAAAATCAGAAAAGAAACATTTAAAACTCTTCATTGATTTTTTTGTTTCAAGTGCTTCTTGGATTTTCCTTAAAGATTCAAAACGGCTCTAAATTGCGTTAAGTTTTCTGTTGATTGTTGGCCTTCATTCTACTGATCTAATTAAACAATTGCAGACCACTTATATAAAAAATGAGTAGAACTCTATAACTCTTATTTTTATTTACAAAAGATTTTTTATTTAATTTAGAGGAGATAATTCTTTGCAGCCCTCCCTTTTCTCAAATGCAGGCTTATATGTAAAGCAAGATATCTTGATGACAAAACCTATATGTGAAACCCTTTCTCTGATTTATATATTGAATTTTATGCTCTAAGGCTGGTAGGATAGAATGTTTTTGATAAACATGATTACCATCTTAAAAAGCCTAGGCAAAAGTGTGTAGGACATTTTAAATATTGCAAAACTCACTTCAAAGTGATAGTAAGATATTTTGGGTAGATTGGTCTCATGGTTCCACATGCTTCCAAAAAAATGAGAGCATGCTGGCTCTATCAGATACTTGGTATTATGATGGTTGAAATCAGTCAGAGAAACATTTTTTTTTTAATCAGAAAAAAATTTAACTAGTCATTTTGTATTTGCATGTGTAAACAAATTTCAGGGTATAATAAGACACAGGATGCTGACAATGTTAGCATCTATTATGGTCTAAATATGCATGTTCATCTAAAATTCCTATATTGGAATCCTAATCTCCAAAGTAATCATGTTAGGAGATGGGGCATTTAGGAAGTGATTAGGTCATGAGGGATTCATCCTTGTAATTGGGATTAGTGCCCTTATAAAACAGGCCTCACAGAACTCCCTAGCACCTTCCTTTAGGTGAGGATACAACAAAAAGTTTGCAACCTGGAAAAGAGTCCTCACTCAGTCATGTTGGCACCCTGATCTTGGATTTCCTACCTCCAGAACTCTGAGAAATTACATTCTGTTGCTTTTTATGGCACTTAGTTTGTGATACTTTGATACAGTAGTCCAAAAGGACTAAAACCCTATCCAAAATAATGATCTTGTAGCTATCAACATTCTTAACACCCAATGAGATGATTATTACTTACCATATAAATATAGCTTTTACTTGAAAACCTGAAGTAACTAGGATTTGTCTAGAAAATAGAAGAATTGGGACAGGATGTATGTATATAGGTAGACTACTGAATGATAGATAATCTTTATGAAGGCTATCATAGGGAAGAAGGGGTCAAGCAAATCTAACCAGCAATGACTACAACAGGGTAATCAATTTAAATTGAATTCTATTAGAACTATCTAATAAATTGATTTATTAGAGCAATCCAGCACAGACTACTTTGGGATTATCAATCATGAGAATGAAAGAATAATGGAGTTAATGGACTCTGAAGTCATACCAACATATCAGGGGAGGACTAAACCCAGCATATTAGCAATTTCCTAGAAATTAAACAATGCTGTTATCAGGCACACTCTTAATCCCCTATTTTGAACAAAACTGTGATCAAACAAAAGTAATTTAGCTGTTTGCTTCAGTACATACCCACTTTTGGATGATAAAACCAAATACCAACAGCTTATTTATAAACACATGTTTTGTGTTCCTCTCCTCATTTTGCCCTCCAACCTAAAACTAATATGTCAGAAACTCTGCCCAGTTCTAACCAGTACTCCACTTTTTAAGCTTTACCATAAAACCACACAACCAGGCTAAAATGTTATAAATATCTTTCCCTAATTTCCCCATTTGGAGAGTCTACTAAGACTCAGTGTTATGGGTTGAATAATTCATATATTCCAGTTCTAACCTTCACTATTTCAGAATCTGATCTTATTTGGAAATAGGTCATTGCAGATGTAGCTACCTAATCTAGAATGAGGTTATACTGGAGTGAGTGGGGCCCTAATACAGTATGACTGGTGTCCTTCAAAAAGAGAAATTTGGAGATAGATGTGCAGCACAGGGAGAAAACCATGTGAACACAAGAGCAGAGATTGGAGTGATGAGTCTACAAGCAAAAGGAACATCAAAACTTGCCAGAAAATCACCGGAAGCTAGGTAAGAGGCTTGGGACAGATTTTTTTGTCACACACCTCAGAAGAAACCACCTCTAATACCACACTGAACAATAGATGTCTGCATCCCCAATCTGTGGTGCTTTGTTATGGCAGCCCTAGAAAACCAATACGCTCAGTCAGGATGCTATTCTTCCTCACGACAATAGGTCTCATAAACTTAATTTTTTTTTTTTTTAATCAGTAAGGTTTTTTGGAGACATTTTGGGCAGTCAACATAGAAATACATTAAAAATTTGGTTTTCCCACTTAATAATTATGTCATCTTAAACATCTTAATCTCCAAAGGATTAGTTACCACATCTGAAAAACTTAAATAGCATCTACTTCACAGAGATGTTGTGAACTGTCCAATGCCTGCCACACAGGACATCCTATATTAATGGCATTGATGATAAGGCTCATAGTAATAAATATCATAACAATGCTGGTAAGGGTGGTGGTAAGGTGGTGGTAATTTCAGTAGGATGCTGAATTAAAGGAAATCCAAAGACTGCTCTAGGATCCTATGAAAGACAGGGTATAGTTTGTATTTAGATACGCTTGTTTTTCTAAAGAGACATATGTTTTAATCAACTTAATAAAAGAATGGCAAGAATAATTAGTGGCATTCATTTTCATTTAATAATTTAAGCCTGAAGTCCTTAAGAAGTTTGTTTCACCAGTGGTTTTAAAAGAACTTCTTGACATACTTTTATTTTATTAGTTTACTCAGCAAAACAAAACTTCATAAATAGTGCTAAGGTAAAATATCAGCCTGCCTCAGATTGAACGATACCATGAAAGATAAACAGGGAGTTATAATTAATGAGGTTTTTATTGAACTTTCAATTATTTAGTAGTAGTACATGTTAATTTAAATTATCCATATGAGCCTTTTCTCCTGTGTAATCCCTTTCTTTCTCTTATTCCTTCATGTATCTCTTGCCATACCATTCTTTGTTTCTAGTGCCTCATTTATTTAATTATTTTAAAAAACACTCATGTGACCTTTCTATATGTTATTTACTACATTAAGTGCAGGACACGATCCTTAATCTCATGGAGCTTAATCTAATGGGAATCAAACACACAATACATCAAATATTACTGTCTTTGAAAATATTAAGATACTACCATTCTTTACATATATGTGTGTATATCACATAAAACATTATCATTCATAGACTGGTATTTATATATCCTGATATAAAAATAATGAGAAAATTAAAAGAAGGATATATGCTTTGTGAAACTTTTCTACTACTATTACATTAATTCTGAGGGATGGCTGTTTAATAATGGCTCCCATCTGTAAATGAAGAGAGAAGTTAAGCACCATTAACCACTTAGAAAGGACTTTTGTTGAGAACAACTATTGATAGCTTAAAATAAAGGAGTAAATCAAGATATGTGAAAAACTTAATACTCTATGTCTGCCAACTGAAGACCCTTATAAAAATATTACTAAGAAAATTCTATCTAGAATATGGTATAAAATTCCATTTGTCTCCCAGTCACTGCTTTACTTGTCCTTTCTGTAAGATTTCACCATATTTAGGACACCTTCTTTCTTTCAACTCTTTTGTCTAATGTCACTGATTTGACCCAGCTGGTTCTCTGCATGTATATTATTCTCTTCCCGAACTGGGTTTTCTTTTTTTTTTTAATCTTACTATCATTTTTAGGTGGTCTACTCTCAGTCTTCTCTTTTCCACAGGCTAAGTGGTTTTATCTATTTTTCTGACTTCAACTACCATCTTCAAAATGGTAATTTCTAAATCTTTATCTCCAGATTTCTTTCTTTCTCATAACTATTTCACACTATTTCCATATAACTTTTGTTTATAGCGTAGCAGCCCATTCACCAAACTGGACCCACACTTACCTTTACTATCTCTGTTCCTATACTTGGGCCATTTCCTCATCTGCCTGAAATGTTCTTCCTCCATCTGGTTATCAGGTTTCTTCCTATAGTTGCTTTCCTTGATCTTTACCAACACATCAGAGTTCATTGTGCTCTTGTCAGTGTTTCCATATCACTTTATACTTACTTTTCCTTATCATTTATTACACTGTGGTTTTGTTAGATTGATTGATTGATTGATTGATTGATTTTACTATACTATGAGCCTTTTAAGACATGGAAGCCCTTTTGTATTAAAATAATAAAAAATGGAGGCACCTAGGTGGCTCAGTGGGTTAAAGTCTCTGCCTTCAGCTCAGGTCATGATCCCAGGGTACTGGGATCGGGCTGCACTTCAGGGTCTCTGCTCAAGCAGGGAGCCTGCTTCCCCCCCTCTCTCTGCCTGCCTCTCTGCCTACTTGTGATCTCTGTCAAATAAACAAATAAAATCTTTAAAAATAATAGTAAAAAATTCCAGACAACTAGTATCATCAATCCATAAGGTTAAAAAAATGTAAACATGCTGGTTCTTCACAGAGAGCTCATGTCAAAATTAAGCAAAGGAACAAAGGATATAAATGTGCTCAGGAAGGAGAAAAGGACTACATTAAAACTGGGTGGTGTCTGATTTTTATCACATTTGTCAGGAATCGCTTTTTTTATGCAAGCAAAAGTTAGAGTTTTGAAATTTAAATTACTATAAATATGTGATTGTGTATTGTCCTTGTGAAATTTCTCATTTAAAATCTACAACTGTTAAGGTTTGAAAACTATTTCTGCAGGAAACAATAAGTCCTTAGAGTGTTCTGAATAGAGCAAGTGATATTCTCAAGTGTGTGTTGAGGAGGGCACACATTGACACATATGTGGGGGATAACTTTTAAAAAAGATATGATGGGAAACAGGGAGTTTACACAGAAGGCTATTGCAGTACCACAGTGAGAAACTGTAAGAGACTAAACCAGGACAATAGTAGTAGAAATAGGGAGGAGGGGATCAGTTTAACACATGTTTGAGA